TGCTCGCTCTCTCTCCCTCTCTCTCTGACAAATAAATAAAATCTTAAAAAAAAAAAAAAAATCTGCTCAAAAAAAAAAAAAAGTTCTGGAATCTGCCAGTTTCATCGGATTCTTCACTTTCTAAATGAGAAAGCAGCTCTGGAGAGGTCACTAACTGAAAAGTCTCAGAAAAGGCACCAACACCAGGACCCAGGTAGGGAGAGATGACTCGAGTCCACTAGACTCCATTCCATTCTCCACTTCTTCCTGTTATTAATAGAACCACCCTGAGTTTCAGCAGGACTCATGGCTGTCCATCAAGAGACTCCATTTCCCAGCCTCCTTTGCAGCTAGGTGGAACCATGTGACCAAATTCTCACCAGTGGAAGGGGAACAAGAGTAATTCTCTATTTCTCAGAGACAAGACATTGTCCCCCCAAACTCTCATACCCTCCCTTGGGGTTGAAACATAAGACACATAACTGGCAAGCCATCTTCTAATGGATGAAAAAGGAACACATCTCAGGATGAGGCCAAGTGGCCAGAGAAAAGAACCTGAGTCTCTGATGGCTATGGGAAGCCATGCTTCCTCCTTCCCCTTTTCTTGGAATATTTACAAGACAGAAATAAACTAGATTTTTCTGAGCCTCTGCATTTTTATGTGTCTTTGCCACAATAGCTGTATTATTTTTCCATTGCTAAACAGCACATTACCCCAAAACTCGGTGGCTTACAACAACAAAAATTTATTGTCTCATAGTTTCTGTGGTTCAGGAATTCAGTGTGAATGAACTGTGTGGTTTTTTGTTTTTTTTTTTGTCTCGGAATCTCCTGCAGTCGTAGCCAGGGTGTTGGGCAGGCCTGCAGTCATTGGAGGTTTGACTAAAGCAAAAGTATCTCCTTCCAAGCTCATTCACGTGGCTGTTAATGGAGACTTTCCCCACCACATGGCTTTTCTGTAGGTTAAGTGCCTTTGAAGGAAACTACAGTGCATTTATGACCCGGTCTCCAAAATCAGGAACTGTCACCTCTGCTTCATTCTACTTGTTAGAAGGTCCACAAGCCCAGTGCTGTCTCCAGGGAATGGGAACTAGGCTCCCCCTCTTCAGGGGAGGAATATTAAATAATTTGTGGGCATGTTCTTGAACCACCCCAGTGAGGACCCCTGCATCCTAATTAATACATTAGACGTACTGGCTCTTTGGTCCAATGACACTTATGAGCCATGAGACTTCAGGATGTAGTTTAATTATAATAAAAATGAACATTTAATGGGGGCTTTCTGGTTCCTGTCACATGCCAAGCATTTATCACACATGGTTCCTTTTGGGATCCTCTACGGTACATTCTACTACTCGCCCTGATTTTCCAGGTAAGGAGTCTAAGGTTTAGCTGAGTTCACACCAGGCCAGATTCTAGAGCCTTCACATGTAACCACTGTACCAGCGATGAGGAAAGGGCATGTTTGGTGGAAAGGGATGTGAGATTGGTTGGAAATCTGTCACCAACACTTAAGAGTTCCATGATTTTGGGGGCACCTGGGTGGCTCAGTGGGTTAAGCCTCTGCCTTTGGCTCGGGTCGTGATCTCAGGGTCCTGGGATCAAGCCCCGCATCGGGCTCTCTGCTCATCGGGGAGCCTGCTTCCCTCTCTCTCTCTCTCTGCCTGCCTCTCTGCCTACTTGTGATCTCTGTCAAATAAATAAATAAAATCTTAAAAAAAAAAAAAGAGTTCTATGATTTTTGCTAAGACCTAAACTTCTTGGGCTTCCATTTTATCCTATAGACAAGGAGAAAACAACAGTGGCTGGAGGGCTGTGGCAAGGAATAGAGGAAAATACTCGAGCACTGGGCACAGGGCTTGGCATGCGGTGGGTGGTCAGTCAGAGGTGTGACTCTACTCTCTCCTCTGACTCTCCATCTACTTTATTTCTTACCTCCACTTGCACACACGAGATGGCTCAGCTGTGGCCTAGAACATCGGCTTCATTCCAGAAGTCCAGAGACACAGAAGGATTATGTATAATTCCTAGGTTTAAAAGCAGGACCCTAAACCCCTAGCTTCTGTTTCCTTCTAGCATCCTTCAATACTTACGAAGAGCATCACAGGGCACTGAGGTGGCTCAGTCGGCTGACTTGTGATTTCGGCTCAGCTCATAACCTCAGGGTCATGAGATCGAGCTCTGTGTCAGTGGAGGCTGCTTGAGATTCTCTCCTTCCCCTCCCCACTCCATGGAGTTCCCATGTGGGTCAGGAGCTGATCTGGGCAACCAAGGAAATTATGAACACACCTCTTCAAGAGTTGTATCAATCCCTGAAAAGCATCCTGGTACTGAGACTTCTAGGGTATCTGGACAGAGGAAGCCCAGATCTTTCACGAATAAAATGAGTGAATGATCTGATTTGCCCAAATATACAGTGAATGACTCTCAATGCCTTCAAAGAATCACATGATCGTCTCACGCAAACTTCTCTTAAGAAATAAAACAGTTAGTTATGCTGAAAAGAAATTTAAAAAAATAAAAAAATAATAAAAAATTTTAAAAAAAGAAATAAAACAGTTAGTTGGATTTAATTATCAGCTTAAGACTTTATATTTATTTGGGGGGGGAGGTGGGGTTGGGTAGAGGGAGAGGCAGAGAATCCCAAGGAAACTCCGAGCTGAGTTTGGAGCCCAACATGGGGCTCGATCTCACCACCCAAAACCCCTGACCTGAGCTGAAATCACAAGTCAGATGCCCAACCGACTGAGCCACCCAGGCGCCCCTTAATTTTTAATTATCACTTTTTAATTATCACTGTGGTTAGCATTTTCTTCTATATCTTATGGCTGGCTGTGGAGGACCATAGAAGAGACACTCTTACTGAAGGTGAAGTGGGATGATCAAGGCTGCAGATCCCATTCTCCTCCACAGAATTACCTGGCTCTCCCCAAAGTGGTTCTCTAGCACTTGCAAGGCCTTAAAATGAGGGGGTTCCTGGGGTGACTAAGAGGATGTTAGGGTAGGGCCGTAGGGAATGAAGAGATTCCCTGACTCCTTAGAAGTTTTCCTGGAGGTTTGATCACCTTGCCCTCTTTCTATGGAAGATTTAGAGACACAATTCTACTTCAGATTCCTCAAGTAACTTTGAATATATAATCTATCAGCTTCTCTACTGTGTTTCAATGTCTTCCTCAATAAAATAACCAGACATGTCTTCCTGACTCACAAGAGGCTGGGGGTCTGAACCATCATCTGGATGAGGGAGCAGGGGTAAGTTACCTAAATAGTATTGATACAATGTGGGAAATCAACTTATCTTTGATAAGACCTTCGGTCTATGAAACGCTGCGAGACTGAACCAATCTTTTCAAGGATGCGCAAGACCAGAGCCCTTCAACCTGTGTCTCCCCCGTAGTAAGCTATCACTTGAGGCACAGCCCTGTGGCCACCATGGCCAGGAGGGATGAGGGAGTGGGAAGGGATGCATTGGGCTTGCCAGTTTAGAGTTCTTTAGTGCCTCTGGAGACCTTACTGAATGTTTAAAATATCAGACTTAGAACATAAATTTGACTGATAACTGAATTCATGGTCCTTGCAGTTATGACCCGAGATGTTCACTGTCCTGATTGACCAGCTCTATTCCCATGAGATTCTGAATCAGAATCTCTGAGCTCAAGGCCTGGGAGTCTGCATCTGTGACATCTCTAAACAGAAGTGATTCCCGTGGGCTCTAAAGTCTGAGGCAGAGACGAGTTAGAGAGACCAGGTAGGAAGTTTTGCAACTGCTCAATTAATAGATGAAACGAGCTGGATCTGTTCGTGGTTCCGATCCTCAAGACCAGCTCATAGGAAAGACTTGTAAAGACAATTACGTAATTAAGTGCTAAACCAGTTGTTGCATACTGCTACGTGATTTTAGCCAAGTTATTCAATGCCTTAACCACCATGCTTTTAAATGACAAAGCACTCATATGCATAATCTTGTCTGAGTGTCACAGATTCCCAAGAGTTAGGGAAAGTATTTATCACCTTCAATTAACAGATTAAGCTTAATTGGAAGATGAGATTGAGTCATTCTTGTTCGCTTGCTTGTTTACTGTCTGTCTCCTCCGGCACTGAAAATGGCAGGAGAGTAGAACCCCGCTGACTCCGATGACCTTGGTGGGTCCCCGGAGCCACAGTGCTTGGCACAAAGTAGGTTCCTGGTGGATACATTCTGAATAAATGAAAAGACAGAAAGACAGGCAAGACAGAAATAAACAAAGGATGCAACATCAGATAAAAAGAAAGCATTCTGGCCGCGGGGGGGGGGGGGGGGGGGGGGGGGGTGGTGGTTAAGAGATTCAGTCTTTCCTCTCACTGCTCTTTATCTCAACACCTGCATCGTGCTAGATGCTGAAGATTCTGCCCTTAAGGGATAGCCAGTGTCGATTTCTGAGTTTGATTCTGCTACTCTGGAACGTGGAGCCCTGTTAAGCCTACCTTAAACGTAACCTTTGGGCCTTAGTTCCTTGTTTGTGAAACGAGGGCCTGACCAAAAATGAGAGGGCAACTCGAGCTGTTCCCAGATCTCACTTTTGTAATTCATCTACTTCACCCCCTTGCTCCAGTTCCCCCTTTCGCGGCGAGCAAGGAGCGCGCTAGCCGCCACCCAGAACCAAGTCCTTGCCCACCCAGCAGAAAGGTAACCAACCCCTCCCTAGAACTGGCTTCTCAGAGAGCCGTGGACATGCGAAACAGTAACAGCTCTGCAGGCGGAAAACAATGTGGCACTAATTGTTCCGTTTCCTCCAGGTCCTCGGTGGAGGAGCCTGGACCCCGCGCGCCCCGAGCGACGCACCCCGCAACTTGCTTCTGTTTGGAGTTAAAGTTTCCCGAGGACTGGGAAGGTGAAGCTGGAGGCGCCCAAGGCGCAAAGATGCTCTCCCCTAGGAGGGGGGCGGGCCTGCAGAGAAGACCCGGGGCCAGCAGGAAGGCTCTCATTGGCCGGAGGGCGGGTGACGAGCGCGGGGCGGAGTTTTCCGGGGGGAGTAAAAGGGAGGGAGGGTGTGCGCTGCTCGTGTCAGATTCGGAGTCCCGGCGGCTCACCTTCGCGCCAAGGATCCCGAGCCCAGCTTCCTGCTGAAGCTTTTTCCCTCCTCGGCGGGCCGACTGCCTCTGCGAACTGGGCGCCCCCACCCTGTTCTGCAGCGCCCTGCATCTCCCCCAGCCCGGGGCCCCTTCCTGCATTTCCTCTGTGGTGTGCTGATCCAGGGGACTTTCTGTTTCCTCCTTTTCCCTCTTTGTTGCTCTAAAACCATTCAAGCCCAAACCCCCGACTCCGGAGAGAGTTCGACTTCTCCAGAAAGGGGGCTGCCGCGGACGACACCGGTACCTCCTGCGGACCCGAAAGCCGGTGCGCCCACCCCGCCTGCCCTATCCGCCGCCTGCCTTCGTTCGCCGGAGGAAGCCCGCCGAGAGTTCATTGATGCACCCATTCCAGTGGTGTAACGGTGAGTCCGCGGGCCGGGAGGGCGTGCGGACGCTGGGCGGGCTGCAGACGAGGTCGGGCGCAAGGCTTGAGATCAGACAGAGAGCTCGCGCTCTTCCTCTTGAGCTAAGTTTCTCATGAAATGGGACGGGCGAGAAAGCGTCCTGGCGCCCAACTCGGCTCTGCACAGCGCGGAATTTGAAAAAAAAAAAAAAAAAATCAGGTTTAACTCAAGGCCCGGGACCGTCTCTGAACGTGTGGCGAGCGGGGGGCGTGGGAGCTGAGGGGTTCGCGGCCTTTGTGTGGCGGCTTCGCTCATCTACCCCCTTCCCTTGCCTTTGTGCGCTCAAACTCTGGTCTTTGTTGTGGTTGTCGGAGGAGAATTAAATCCGCGCTCGGGTTGGGATCTCCTAGAGGGAGCTCAAGTTCCCGGCCTGGAACTTTGCAGGCTATTTTAAATATGTATACAATGCAGCGTGCGGGACGGGGCGCGGAGGCTGCTTCCTCTGTGTCTTTGTTGGCTTCTCACTGGCTGCTATGGGCTTTGTGCTTGTGGAGGACGACGGGTTCAAGAGCATATCTTTATTGGGTTGATAAAGCCTTGCAGATGTCTCGGCGTCCTGGTACCTTTGGGTGCAGGGCCAGGCCGGCGGGAGCCGTGCTCTCTTGGCCCCAAGGCCGGGTTGCGGTACCCGCTCTGGAGCCGGGGTGGTGGCCGCACCTGCTTATCCAGTCTCTCCTCCCTCCCAGGCCTGGAGGGATGCTAAATCCACCTCACCTGAGGCTTTTTGACTTTTCAGGTGATATAGATTGGGCTTGGAGCTGACTCCACCCATGCTACCTTAAAGGAGGGCCTTTCCTTGCAGGTCAGTTAAAAGGTATTGGTATTGGATACTAATACCTTCCAGTAACTTTGGTGTTTTGACCTCGTTGTTCCAAGCTTGGAGTTTCTGGAGAAGTGGGGCGGCGATGGGGGGCGGGGGGCTGCAGCTGGCCTTATCTGAGCATGGTAGGCCGGCTAGTTAGAAAAGAAAGAAAAAAAAAAAAAACACCCTTGAGAGCAGACCCCTGCCAGATCTTGGATGAATTCTTTCAAACGGCTTTTGTTTTAAGGCCGGGTTTGGATAGCATGTGTATGAGCGGCCCCCATCCCCCTCTTCCTCTTGCTGGTAGGATCTAATTTCCTGAAAATGAACCGAGCTGTGTGTGATAGGCGGGCATTGAGGGACAGGGGGTGGAGGATGGGGGTGAGGCCAGCCGGTGCATCCCAGCATCTGGGAAAGATTCCCGTTGGCTGGGAAGGGGAAGCATTTCCCAGACCCACTGGTCTTTCTTGGCCAGCCCTTCTCTTGACGTCATTCCAGCTCCCAGCCTGTGCACCACCGAGATGAGACCTTCTGATGTCACAGCTTTCATCGGTCAGCTGAGACAATGGAACAGAGACTTAAGAACCAAGGTGGCTGGCACTTTATTCTGGCACTCCTATTTCATGTGGGGTTTTTAGACCAGCAGAGGGCTTGCTGCTTTTTCTTGTCACTTAAAGTGACTGATAGATCCTGTTCTTTGACTCCAAGGAGGAAGCAGTCCCTTCCCCCATCCCTTTGTTGGGGAGGTGGGGGCAGTATTTGGAGTCTCTGTTTCCTGGGGTTGGTATTCTGCCCTTACAAGTTGGGGGAAAAATGACTCCTGCTACACCTTTTGGCCAGTATGTGTCTTTACCATTTATTTTTAATTATAAGGAAACATACCATTTATCTTCAGATGTAACTAAATGTACCATCTCCTTGGCTATGAAGTTCTTCTCACCTGTATCTTTTTTTTTTTTAAAGATTTTATTTATTGTATTTGACAGAGAGAGAGAGATCACAAGTAGGCAGAGAGGCAGGCAGAGAGAGAGAAAGGGAAGCAGGCTCCCCACTGAGCAGAGAGCCCGATGTGGGGCTCAATCCCAGGATCCTGAGATAATGACCTGAGCCGAAGGCAGAGGCTTCAACCCACTGAGCCACCCAGGTGCTCTTTCTCACCTATATCTTTTTATCACATAAAGTCACAAGCTCACTGACTCATTCCTGGAAGCCCAGGGAAAGCCTCTGTCAGAAGCCTTCTTCTGACAAGAAGAGCTAAGATGGTCAAGGTAAACTGATCAGAGGCCCACAGGACAGGAAACCAATGAGGTTCTTTGGGACCCTGAAGATAACCAGGATCCAGCTCATAAAACGTGCATGGAGAGCAGGATGGATTGGGATTGGGTTTAGACGCTGTTAGGACATCAGTTGTTGCTGAGGTAGGGAGGCTAGAAGCCAGGGCTTCCTGTTCAACATAGCAAGGTTAAGAGCTAATTAATCTTTTCAGCAAAGTCTTTCAGGACAAGAACTACTTCTTCTGTTTTTTGTTTTCCCACAATGTCCAGGTCAGTGCATAAATCAGACCCTCAATAATACTTGTTGGTTGACTGGTCATTCATTAGCTGAGGGCAGTTTCTGGGCAATTTTCCCAAGTATCACTCTCTTTGCTTTGAAATGGGAGCCTTTCCCAAGGGTACCAGGTTGTCTTGAAAATCAGGAGTTATTTATCTGTCAACTAGTTAATTGGAAACATGCCAAACGCTAGGCGAGGCACTGGAGAGTATACACGAGTCCAAGCCTGCCAGTCCAAGCCTGCCGTCCTCTGACTTCACGCAGACTTAGGAGTGCTCAAGCTGGTTAGAACTATTTCCCTTCTGATTTCAGGACTGTAGTCCCACCTCTACTGCCATGCCTTCCTTGGTACAGTGAAAGCCTTTGGGTTGTCTTTGTCGCTACACAGTAAAAATCATCCAGTTGTTCTTTGCTTTTTCATATTCAATGTCTGGCATGGTATTTGTCCTATAGTCCATATTTGAGTTTGGTTAAGTTGATGCTTGGAACAGCATTGGAGTATGCGAGAGCCAGAACGCGTGGTTTAGGCTGTGAGCCCTGTAGAATTCAAAGGAAGAGAAGGCTCCCTGGGATGTCATGAGGACTAGGCCTGGTGGACTTCCAGAAGGGAGATGGAGTTTCGGACAGGGAAGAAGTTGCATGAGCAAAGGTCTTGGAGGCAGGTTAAGGACAGGCTGAACAAGAAACAGTGAGATGGAGGGGACTGAGCCTGGGGCTCAGTCGTTAAGCATCTGCCTTCTGCTCAGGTCATGATCTCAGGATCCTGGGATTGATCCCTGCATCGGGCTCCCTGGTGAGTAAATAAAATCTTAAAAAAAAAAAAAAAAAAGGGAGGTCCATGGTGGGTGATTCCTTAAGGTGGTGAGCTGGGGAGGTTGAAGAGACCCAGGATATGTGGGGTTAGGAAGCCTGAAAACCAGTCATGAGCTTGGGAAATAACGTGATGGGCTAAATTAGAGGAGGGACAAGACATCAATGAGGTGTCTGGGACAGAGACTTGGAATAGAATTGGGCCCATCTGAAAGAGCTTTGAAGGGAGGCTCATGATAGGGTCACCAGATTGATGTAGGGGATGACAAGACATGAGATGTAGGATGTCAGAATTGACTTCCAGTCCTTTAAACCAGTCTTCTGAGTTGTGGCAGCCCTGGAGATTATAATCTAGAATTCTGAAGTATATTTATGGGTTCTGGCTCCCAACCAAGATGTCAGGCCAGTGCTTAAAACCCATGTTGAAGACTTTGAGTACTGAGGACTTTGGATACAAGCCTTCTTAGCTGCTTGAAGTTAAGAGAGCTTATTTAATAATGATTCTTTCTTCCTTGCTGAGAGAGAAAGTAAGTTTCGCAGTGGCATTACAAAGATTAGATTGGTAGCCTGAGAATTTGCTTGGGATGTAGCAGGTTTATGGTAGACAACCAGTTTTCTTGTTGCTGAGATCCAAGAATTATATTGTGCTTGCCTTTTGGATCACTATATTTTGTCCTGGTCACAGGACAGAACATTCTACCCAGCTTATTGTTTATATCCTGTATGTATTTTTTTTTTTAATCGTTAAACATTACAGGAAATTTACTGATTCTCAAAACGAGTACTCCCCAAATAGAGAGTGGCTCCAGGATTGGCTCACCCAGCAGTAACTGCCATACTCTTGTCTCCTCTTCCCCTGTCCCTTCTGCCACTCTCCGCCCTTGGCTTTATATTGAAAAGCCTTCTTGTCCAGCCATAACTTGGCTGACCCATTCCAGTTGTCTCAGGAAGATGGGACTGTTTTCCTTGTCCGGCAGAACTTTGCTCTGTTTCTGGCCAGAACCCTGTCAACATACCTACCTCCACACCAAACCCTGGCAAGGGGAAGGTGACTATAACGATTAGCAGGCCAGTCGGGGTTTACCCTAGTCATGGGAGAAGGGGAAGCGTCTAGTGACGGGTCACTGTTTCCCACACAGCAGGTGTAGGAATCTCCCAAGGACCTAATTAAAATGTGGATTCTGATTCATTTTGTTCAGGGTGGGCCTGAGATTTTGAATTTCTTACAAGATTTTGCATCGGATGCCAGTGTCACTATGGAAACCACGCCTCGAAGCTTTGAGTAGAAAAGGGGAAAGTGGCCAGTCAAAGTAAGCGGCATCCCCTACCACTTTCTGGAACACTGGGCCCACCCTTGGGGGGCCAAGTGAACAGTTTCTATTCTGGTCCTGGTGCAGCTTGTCTGCTGAAGCGGGTGGCTTCCTAATGACAAATGACCTTTGCAGCTGCACCTTGCAATTTACAAAGGGTAGTTTTTACCCTCCCACTTTGGTCCTCTCTGTTTTTGCTTGTTTTTTAAATGACAAAGGGAAGCATAGATAGGTAAGGTCTTAAAGGTCACCTGTCCAGGGAGAGGCAGGGTTGCCACCCAAATACCCATTTTGTCACCCAGGGCTCTGCATTTTTCTGCGGACTCTGCATTTTTCTGTGGCGTTCTATGAGCTTCTTGCTGACGAGATCAAGTCTTCCATTGACTCTGAATCCTTGGTCCCCTGGGTGGAGAGGAAATTTGAAGTACTAGGTGTGCTCTCCCATTTCGCAGATGACTTACTTACGCAAGATCACACGGCTGCTCCGTGTTAGAGCTGGGATGTAGAGTTCGGCCTCTGCGTCAGAGATGTTGAGGAGCCCAGAGCCTGCCATTTTCTCTTTCCATCCTGGCTGACTGAGCACCATCAGCCCCGGTGGTCCATTTCCAGCGATAACCTTTTCCCTCTCGCTTTCTTTGCAGGGTGTTTCTGTGGCCTGGGACTGGTTAGTACCAACAAGTCCTGCTCCATGCCACCCATCAGTTTCCAGGACCTGCCTCTCAACATCTACATGGTCATCTTCGGCACAGGCATCTTCGTCTTCATGCTCAGCCTCATCTTCTGCTGCTATTTTATCAGGTGGGTGGCACCCTGGGTGGCCTCCGGGGCTGGGAGGCAGCGAGAAGGCGGCCAGGAGTTGGGGTGAGCCAAGTGAGGCTCCCTCAGCAGAGTCCCTGGCTTCCCACTGGGGCCCCTCCTCTGAGGACACAGGGCCTAGCCTGCCCTTCCCTGGGCCCCTGAGGCCTGCTATTTCTATTTTCAGTGGCCTGTCAAGTTGTCCCAGTGCATGTAAGGTCACCATTGGTTGGGCTGCAGTGCACCTCTTGGCCTCTTATCCTAGGGTGGCCTAGGATGACTGTCTGACCAAGTAGTATCGTGAGTCTGTCCCTTCACTGTGTCTCCACTCCCCACTCACAACTCCGGGTAGCCAGGGCTAGGTGGCCCTCGGTCGCACTGCTGGCATGTTCCTCTGCCCTCCTGGGAAATCCTGCTGTCAGCCCTCCAGATGCTAATATTAGCAAACTCATGTCTAGGGAGCTGGTTGTTATTCTCTCTGGTAAGCTCTTATTTTTGATAGTGGTAGGGGAGAAAAACCCAAATCCCCTCCCAAAAAAACCCTGAAAACGTCACTTTTTCTTACTACGTAGAGATCCAGGGAAGGACTTGAGCGTGGCAGGGGCTCCTGAGGCTTCCCAAACTCCAGGAACTGTTTCTTCACCTCCTGTTGAGAGACATGGGAACTGGTGGCTGGTTTTCTACCAAAAATTTGGGGCATGACTGGTATTTAGAGTGGAAATTAAAGTAGTGTTTCTGACAAGGGCAGGCTCTTGGTATTAACAGTCCCCTCATTGTATGGGACTGTCTTGCCTACTGGGGAGTGTGGAGCATCCCTGAGCACCCTCGTGGGCCTTGGGTCCATTGTGATAACCACTCCCTCCCCCAACAGCGTGCATGCGCACATGCTCATGCTTGACCAAAGGCCTGAGTAACTGTCAGCTAGAGTCTTACCAAATTATTTATTTATTTATTAAAGATTGTATTTATTTATTTGACAGAGAGCGAGATCACAAGTAGGCAGAGAGGCAGGCAGAGAGAGAGGAGGAAGCAGGCTCCCTGCTGAGCAGAGAGCCTGATACGGGGCTCGATCCCAGGACCCTGAGATCATGACCTGAACTGAAGGCAGAGGCCCAACTCACTGAGCCACCCAGGCGCCCCTTACCAAATCATTTAAATTAAGTTGAAGGAAAGAAGGAGTTCAGGCTCCCTACTAAGATGTCTTGGTGGGTCTGAGTGCTTCACCTGGAGGGACGCGAGGGGGAAGGCAGACACTCCTCTGTATTCCTGAGGCAATAAGAGCTTCCTCTATAAAAGGGGAAGTGCCCTGAGTGCCCCCAGTCAGCCACTTTAGGCCTCTTCTTTCTCAGAACTTCATAAAGTTCCTGGGACTGGAGTTTTCTACTTACAAGTGTACGCAGAGAAGATAGTGGTTTATTTTCTCTCTCTTCGTACAGTTGAGACTACAGTTTGCACAAGTGGGAATGAGGGCAGCTTTTCTAGTAGCTCTCTGTCCTGCATTTCCCTTCCTCAAAGCCTATATTTTCTTCCTTAAACTTTCTGGCTTCCTGACCACCAGCCACCCCCATCTCCCCACACCAAGGAATTCATGCAGCTCCCCAGAGACTGAAGACAGAGACCTACCAAATACCGAAGGTTTATGCATCCTGCTGGGGGAGGAGTCTGCAAAAACAGCTCTATCTGGTACACACCCACGCTGCAGAGGGGGTCAGCTGAAGGAAAATCTAGAAAATCACCCAGGGCCATGAAGTGGGTGACCAGGGTTCATTTCCTAATTCTGCCGCTAATAGGATAGGTGTGACCTTGGTTTTTAACTACCATTTTAACACTTGGTAGTGTCTTCTCTGTGCTTTGTTGTGACTGGTGTTTTGTGCCCGCCCCCCGCCTAGCATATGTATTGGCCCACTTTGTAAATGAGGAAAGTCCTGCTCAGGCTCAGGCAGTGAAGGGTTTGCCCAAGGTCCTATGTCTGGGAAGATCCAGACGTGGGCTGGCCTGGTGGCCATTGGCTGGAGCCTTTCAGATTCCAGACATTTGCCTCCTCTGAGTGCTAACGCCTTGAATGGGAAGTGGAGGAGCAGCTGTGGCATCCCCCAGCATCCCCTTCCCGCTAGAGATCGGGGTCCCCCAGAAGGACAGGCCGGGGAGCTGGGTCTCGCTGACTTATTTTTGGCCGGCTGGAGGCAAAACCGGCAATAACCACATGATACCAAAAGCCTTCCTGACTGCGGGCCGCTTGGCACCACCTGTCCCTTCTGTCACCCCACCTTCTGTTCTGCAGCCTGCCCGAAGCCAGCTGACCCCGGAGTCTCATGGCTCCAGAGGCTTGCTGCTGTGTGGCAGCCTGTGGGTGTCTATATATAGAAAGACACACAAGCACAGAACCACTTCCTCTCGCTGCTTCTCCGTTTCCTCCACAGCCAAAATAGGCCCATGACCCCTGCTATCCACCTGGTGAGCTCATTGGCCAACCCCAGCCTCCACTCCCCGGCTCCCCCTCACTCCTTCTCCCCCAGTCCCCAAGAGCTGACCTCTGCCCTGTGCAGGATGGAGGGGCCAGTGAAGTACAAATAGGCAGGAAAGGGACAATTATTTTCAGGACCTGGTCGCATTGTTTGTTCCAAAAGGGAAAAGAAGCCAAGGAGAGCCCCCGGCCCTGGCTAGAAATGGTCTCATTGAAATCTGAGTATTTTTAGTAGCTTTGCTCACCCAACAGCTGAGAAGGCCACCTGTCCAAAGTTGCTGGCACTGTGTCCTCTGCTGGGATGGCCCGGGTTGGTGGGGGAGGGGTTGTCTTTTGCTTTGTTTCCCTTGCAACCTTTTTTCCACCCCCGTCTCCTCACAATGTATACCTTCCCGTTCCAGAAATCTCCACGCAGGGTAAAGGCTTTCCCTGTTCTGGTAGTGCTAGGCTCGGCAGGGGTGGGGGTGGGGTGGGGTGGGTCCTGCCTGCTGCTGGAGGGTCCTTGACGGTGACCATTAAGTGGAGCCAGGCAGACAGAAGGGATGGGGGGGCACCCCGCACATCCCATGAAACAAGCAGAAAGGAGCCACGGGGCAGGTAAGGCGGTGGGACACATGAGACGTGAGCCGTCCCCTTGTTCTCCGAGTTATAAAGCAGGCTTCTCACCACTTCCTTATTGACTCTGCTGCATAGCTGGTCAGCACTGTCTTCCCTCAGAAGGCGGCTGCGAGCACTTTGGTAATGGGAACACTTCTTCCTTCCCCAGCTTTCATACCTTGCAGCCAGCTAACAGTTGTTCCTTTAGGCCTTGGAGGCATCCATGCCTGCCCCCCTTGTTTGGAGGTGGGACCGAGAGCCCTGCATATGAAAGACTTTCCTGGACTAAGGAGTTCCCTGCAAAGTTAAGGCTGGGACACTGGGATTCCTGGTTAAGCCTTTGGTTCAAACCTCCCATGACCAGAAACTCTCCAGGAGATGTGCTGCCGTGGGCCACCTTTGCCCCTTGGTGTGGTAGTCCCCCTGGACTGGAGTTCCTTTTTTTTTTTTTTTTAAGATTTTATTTATTTATTTGACAGAGAGAGACGCAGTGAGAGAAGGAACAGAAGCACGGGGGAGCAGGAGAAGCAGGCTTCCCACCAAGCAGGGAGCCTGATGCGAGGTTCGATCCCAATCAGGACCTGAGCTGAAGGCAGATGTTTAACAACTGAGCCACTCAGGCGCCCCTAGATTTTATTTTTAAGTAATCTCCACACCTGACTTGGAGCTCAAACTCAGAACCCTGAGGTCAGAGTCACATTTTCCACTGAGCGAGCAAGGCACCCGTGGACTGGAGGTTTTTTTTTTTTGTTTTAAGATTTTATTTATTTATTTTTTTAAAGATTATTTGAGGGCGCCTGGGTGGCTCAGTGGGTTAAGCCACTGCCTTCGGCTCTGGTCATGGTCTCAGGGGCCTGGGATCGAGTCCCACATCGGGCTTTCTGCTCAGTAGGGAGCCTGCTTCCCTCTCTCTCTCTCTGCCTGACTCTCTGCCTACTTGTGGTCTCTGTCTGTCAAATAAATAAATAAAATCTAAAAGAAAAGAAAATAAAGATTATTTGACAGAGCACACAAGTAGGGGGAGAAGCAGGCTCCCCACTGAGCAGGGAGCCCGATGCAGGGCTCAATCCCAGAACCCTGGGATCATGACCTGAGCCCAAGGCAGCCGCTTAACCGACTGGGCCACCCAGGTGCCCAAGATTTTACTTATTTTTAGAGGGAGAGAGAAGAGAGTGCAGGGGGCAGGGCAGAGAGGGAAGAGGGAAGGAATCCCAAACAGACTCCGTGCTGAGCAGGGAGCCCACATGGGGCTCAGTCTCACCAACCTGAGATCATGCATGACCTGAGCCGAAACCCAGGAGTCAGGTGCTCAACTGACTGAGCCACTCAGGCCCCCTAGACTGGAGATCTTAAGAGGTTCCAGGCCTAGAGCCTCTCCGGGCCCCCTGACTTCTGTTAGGAACAGTGGAGGAGCTGGCAGCCCGATCTGGGTCTGACCCTTGGGCACAGCTCTGCTCTGCCCTGCATTTTGCATCTTCCCCTGCTCTGACTACAATTCAGCTTCTCCACACTGTCCGCAGAAAGAGCATCTTCTCTCACGCCTTTTGGTTGTGGCTCACGATTTGAAATTCTCTTCCTCTAATTCAGATCAGCACTCTTATTCTGCAAAAGGATGAATTATCTGGGGCTTTGGAAGTCATCCAGTCTCTCTCAATAACCCCACTCTCCTGGGCAAAAGCAGCCATAGACAATAGAGAAATTATGAGCCTAGCTGTGCTCAAATAAAATTTTATGGACATGGAAATTTGAGTTTCATATATTTTTCACATGACGTGAAATATTCTTTTGATTTCTACTTTCTACCACTGAAGAATAAAAACCAGTTTTCACCCCCAGGCCCTATAAAACAAGTGGTCAGCAGGCTTTGGCCCTTTGGCCAGAGTCTGCAACACCTATTATACCCAGATGAGCTTCTGGTATTTCCTTCCAGTAACCCAGATCTGGGGTAGAAGTGATCAGTGGGGAGAGTAAGCCCCACCTAGCTCCCATGTATAGAAAGACCTAGCACTACCTGCTAAATTTGGAAAGTTTCTTTCACTGCAAATAAGACAACGTAATAATAATAATAATAATGCATAATCATGGTCCCAGCCATTAGTTGTGGCCTTGGGGACAAACAAGTGTTTCCCAAGTGGTCTGGTATCCTTGGTATCCTTCTCAGGACAATGACGTGTCCCGTGTAGTAGGGGAAACCGGCCAGTATGTGTCCGAGAGCTCAGGCTCTGTCGTCTGGTAGACTTTGATTCAAACCCGCCCGAGCTGGTAGACTTTGATTCAAACCCACCCGCGCTGCCAGCTAGCTGTGGGGCTTGGGCAAGTTATTTAACTTTGGGGGGCTTCTGTTTTCCTCCTCTGTAGAAAGGAAACTTTCCCAATGTACATGTGTATGTTAATAGGGGTGGACACAGAGCAAGTCGTCCATAACTACTGTGGGCTTGATGCTGGGGACAGTGTGCTGTGTTTTGGCTGTGTTAGTTTTTGTTTTGTTTTTTGTTTTTTGTTTTGGTTACTAGTTTTATATATATATATATATATATATATATATATATATACACATTTTTTTTTAATTTTTAAATTTTTTTATAAACATATAATGTATTACTAGCCCCAGGGGTACAGGTCTGTGAATCGCCAGGTTTACATACTTCTTGGCTGTGTTGGGTTTTATGTAGGCCACCGGCTCAAAAAATTCCCCAGGGTTAACAGACTTATTTATCCTGCTGCCCTGGCTTAATGGCGGTACCCCTTTTAAGACCATCCAACTCCTTCTGTGTACTCAGTAAGCAGCTTGATGATCTGTAGACTTGGGGAGCCTAAAGAAACCGAGGTACTGGGAAACAGCAGGGAGTAGGAATGAATAAATCTGCCAGATTGTGCTCTGCCAGGATTCTCCCGTCTCTGGGACCTGCCAGTAAGTGTTGAGGCTGCTGGGCCTGAGAAAGATCCTGGGTCTTTCTTTAATTCCCTCTGGGTGACCTGACTGGGTCCAGACCACACTCTGTGGCATCTCTGGGATGAGACAGCCCCGTGACAAGCAGCCTCCCAGCCCCAGAGGAACAGCCCACGCAGCGTGCCTGCCTCTCCTACTCTGAATGGCTCTCTTTGTTGCAAGGCATAGCAATAACCTCTTCTCTCCCCTTTCTCTTTCTCCCCCAGCAAACTCCGGAACCAGGCCCAGAGTGAGCGATATGGCTATAAGGAGGTAAAGTGCAGCCTCATTCCCTGAGACTTTTCCTGTCTGCTCCTGTGGAAGCTGAGGCTTTATACGGTCCTCCTGTCTGGCTTGTCCCAGGCAGTGCCTGAGGCCCTCACCCTCCGCCAGAGGGAGAGGAAGACCCTAATGTTGCAGGGGTGTGGGGGACGGGGACACGGGACACAGGAAAACTGACTCCCTTCTTTGGTTGAGAGCACCTGGCCCCTGTGGTTGGCTCTTCTCACCCCGTACCTTCGCTCCGTCTTCCCAGGTGGTGCTTAAAGGAGATGCGAAGAAGTTGCAGTTATATGGGGTAAGCATGCTGGGACAGCAAGGGGGAAGGGCCCAGCTGGCAAGGTAGACGGCACCTTCTCCATCCAGCGCTCAGTCTGGGCCCTCAGGAACTTTATTATTATTGCTATTATAGGCATCATTATCTTGGTGGTCAGTAAAGCAAGGTTGATTGAGGGATAGCAACATGACAATACAAAGCTCCCAAGGAGGGAGGGGACCCAAAGGAGTTGCCCTTTCAGGAACTTTCAACCCTGTCTTCATCTCTCCTTGGACCAAATAAATGGGACTAATCCCAGTAAGTAATCTGTATGTGGAATTCACGAGGTCTGGAACTGGCGCAGGCAGATGACCTAAAGGGGTCACAGAAGGGTTTGAGTGGTGGGGATGTGTGGCCCCAGGAAGGCTGCTCTGCGTAGTGCCGAAGGGGAGCGTGGGTACAGAACTCCATGCCTCAGAAAGTCCAGCCTCCCTTCCTTTTACACCCGCACGTGCATTCTGTCCTAGCCAGCGCTGGAGCTGACACGTGTATCCATCCCCGCAGTCCTTCCCGTTTCCCCTCCAGTCCTCCCCCGCCAGCCAGTAGAGCAAGTTCTTGTGTCTTCACACGGACTCTTCAGGAGGCCGTTTCCTCTTCCTATCCTACTTGCGTCCATGAGATCACATAACTTCTCTCTCAAGGCTTCCATCCGTAACCACAGACACTTGTGCACAGGGTGTGTCTGGTTGTCTGGGACCCAGAAGGATCTACAGGTATTGCTGACAGGAGACAGCCTCTTTCTTTTTAATCCCCCCCCCTTTTTTTTTCCCTTGCGGGGGGGAGGAGGGTAAGCAGACTCTTTGCTGAGCAGGGAGCCCAACACGGGGCTCGATCCCAGGACCCTGAGATCATGACCTGAGCTGAAGGCAGACACTTAAACCAGCCAAGCTACCCAGCTACCCCTCATCCCCCTTTTTGATGCCTGCTGTTAGATCTCAGCAAATTGGGGTATTTCCTGAGCCCCCCTTGAGAGGAAGAGTTCAGCTCTGAGGTGTTGATATATAATGACAAAAAGCTGGATTCAAAGAATATTTATTTTTTTTATTTTTTTGTCTTATTCATTTTTTTTTTAATTTTTTTAAATTAACATATAATGTATTATTAGCCCCAGGGGTACAGGTCTATGAATCATCAGGTTTACACACTTCACAGCACTCACCATAGTACCTACTCTCCCCAATGTCCATAACCCAACCACCCTCTCTGGAATCAAAGAGTATTAACCGAACACCATGTCCCCATCCTTACCTCTAGTTAATGATACATGCCCCCTTGCCAAATGTACTAGGTGAGAAAGGATTAAAAAATACTCTTCTAAAACAGTACTGGTCAATGGAAATTTCTGTGAGGATAGAAATGTCTGGCGTCTGCGCAGCCCAGTGTGGGAGCTGCTTTAGTCACATTGCAGCTGCTGAGTCCTTGAAATGGAGCCGGTGCAACTGAGGAACTAAACTTTTTTTTTTTTTTTAAAGATTTTATTTATTTGACAGACAGAGATCACAAGTAGGTAGAGAGGCAGGCAGAAAGAGAGGGGGAAGCAGGCCCCCCACTGAGCAGAGAGCCCAATGCATGGCTCCATCCCACTGAGACCATGACCCGAGCCAAAGACCAAGGCTTTAACCTGCTGAGCCACCCAGGCACCCTAAACTTTTAATTTCACCTTCATTTGGTCCAGGAAACGTGTGGTTCATGGCTACCCTCTGACTCAAGTTTCAGTGGCTGATGAGGAAACTGGGCCACAGCTTAGTTTTCCTGGGTGGGGATGAGCTGTTGGGTGAGTGTGGTTCTTTTCCAGTCTCCTCTCAACACCGCCCCCTTCTCCCCACAGCAGACCTGTGCAGTCTGTCTGGAAGACTTCAAGGGCAAGGATGAGCTCGGTGTGCTCCCGTGCCAACATGCCTTTCACCGGAAGTAAGTGTCCGCTGTGGGGCATGTGTTATCCAGGGATGCCCTACATCCTGTCAGGACACCAGGCAAGCCGGAGGGGTTGGGCGGGGGCAAGGACAGAGATGTTCTGAGAAGCAGCTGGGCTCTGTGAGACAGACGGAACCGGCTAGTGTCTTCTTCTGCCCACAGGTGTCTGGTGAAGTGGCTGGAAGTACGCTGTGTCTGCCCGATGTGTAACAAGCCCATCGCCGGGCCCTCCGAGGCCACTCAGAGCATCGGGATCCTGTTGGATGAGCTGGTGTGAGTGTTGGCCTCTGCACCAAGACCTGGAGAAGACCCATTGCCTCCCGGGTGCCTGGTCCCTCTGCACAGCTGCCGTGAACAAGACTGCTGGGTGGGGACTGACCTGCTTCTCTGAAGGGGCGCTAATGCAGGGCTGGTCCCCCACCGTCAGGGTGAGACCAGAGTTGCCCCACCTTTCTGCCTCCTGAAGCCGCCTTCCCTGCTACTCGGAACTAATGGCATCACCCATAAAGAACACTGTATCCTGATACTGGATTGTCTACCTGCCTGTCCCTGCTGGGGAAAAAGCCGTCCATCCTTACCTGGCTCAGCACTTGGCCTTTACCCCGTGGGGGTTCCCCTTAGGAGGACAGGCTGCCCTGACCTCAGAGGAGGGATAAGATGGGCCGTGCCCCACCTGTAACCTCCCTCCCCTCTTTACCCCTTGCCTAGGAAGGTGAGGAGGGGAGGAAGGAATGATCAAGGAACCAAGTGCCTCCAGCGGAAGGGAGGGAGGCTCTGCAGGAAGTCAGGAAGAGCAGGGACACCGAAAAATGAAAGTCAGTGTTTACATGGGGCCTGTGGAGATCAAGGCTGGCCAGTAGGCCGAGGCAGAGACCTTCCCCCTGCTGGGATCTGTGGTGCTATCCGTTCACTCTCTTCCTCGGTTAATCTCAGAGCTTCCGATTCCGGCTTGGGGTTTGAGTGCCCCTCGAGAGGAAGGGCTTGTTCTACACTCAGATGAATTTGCAGGGGCTTTTCCTAAAGGAGCAAAAGGGGCCCGGGGCTGGGGGTGTCCGAAGGTTAATTAAGGTAGCGGCAGGTACCTTCTTCCCCTCTGTAAATAGGATTTTTATACTTCCTCCTCACCATCCCAGGCTTTATACATGGACCCCCTGAATGGAGGGGGTGGGGTTTTCTCTCCCCCACCCGGAGTAGGTGAGGGTGGGACAAAGGTGTGTATTTAAAGAAAATTAAATTTAATAACAAGTTCTCTAACTTTCTGCCTGTGGTTGCGGCCTGTGTCTCTTGGCCCTTTTCTGCCAGCAAAGGAAACAAAGTTCTCTTACTGCTGCTTCTCACTTCCCCGTACTCAGAACTCATGCCCAGAGGTTCTCAAATCTTAAAAAAATGGAAATCGGGTTATTACCTGTATGCCATAGGACTAATATCCATGTACTTTAAGGCCTGATTAAAAGTATTCTAGAAATCCGCTGAATGAGCCTGGCTTCAAGAAAGGCGTGATGTATGCCACCGTGACGTGTGTTTGAATGCCAAGATCAGTAAGACTTGAAATTAATAAAATCCGACACGAAATTCACACAATCGTGTTTTTGCCACCACTCATGGTCCAGGTTGCGACACAGAAGCTTGATCTTTCCCTTATTAAGCTTTTTTCTCACCTCCTTGCTGACCGTCACAGACACATGCTACCCTCCTGCACCAACATCTCAAAAGAGTTGCATCACCAAATTTATGTGCTCAGATCTTGTAACCCACGTGCTCCAGTGTTGCTCTCGACGTCTCAAGGGAGTATGGAATCAAGAATTGATATGCAAAATGTACCGGAAGGGCCGGGAACAATTTTCTCGGCCATCGTGAGTATGGAGCAGGTGGGCCATGGTTGCCCAGGGCAGTGGCCAATGGTCATCCCAGGAAGCAAGCCCGGGGTACTGGGCACAGTAGGAATATTGAGCAAAGTCGAGTGTAGTGGGGGGTCACAGATGGGTGAGAGCTGCCCATGCACCCAAAGGAGCTGGGCCTGAAGGGTAGGTGTGATGGGCTCTCACCCCTGTGATGGTGCCATGGGGGCTGCTGGTACAGCTTGTGCTCGTGTCTGACAGACCGATGAGGCCGGAGTACCAGCCTGTCCTAGGGAAGTGGTCAGCCCTGTCTTGGTGGGGTCCTTTGCCCAAGGACTTCTTCCACAGTCTGAGGACTAACTTCCCACTCCTTAAAGCCTCAGCCCCCTTGCTGCTGCAACCCTACAGAGTCTGGTCTTGACTTCATCAGGGACGCCAGTTCTTCCTCTAGTCCGGCCAGCTTCGGTGCAGGGATGAGGTGGAAACCAGGGGTCTGCGGGTTGGCTTCAGTATCTACAAACTTCTACACCACCGTCCCCTCTTCTTCAGCGTTGGCATATTCCAATTAAAATGTTGGTATTAAAATAGCCAAGTTTGCAGACTCGAATAGCATTGTCCTGAGGTTGAAATGACGGTGAAAATGCCTTGTATTGCTTGCAGTGCTTCGAGCCAGCCCGGTAGAACAGTGCACAGGAAGAGAAAAACTGCTGCTGATGATCAGAGAAGAATGACCGTAACCAATCACAAGGTAAATAGTCACTGTCATGAGTGTGGTTCTGTTTCTCAGTGTTGTGTTTCTAGGGCACGTGCCCACGGGGGCTGGGTGCTGGAAGGCTCTTGCCTTTGGAAAGGATGTAAGCACAGTGTTTGTGGTGTGAGTAAGCTCATGGGGCAGAGACTCTGGCCTCAACTGGTGTGGAAGTGACAGCAGGGGACCCGTGGGGGGGTGATACTGGATCTGAGTCCTGCGGGAGTGACCTGGGCAAAAGCACTTCAAGGGTTAACCAGCCTGGTGGGTGTCAGAGGGTACACAAGTCATGATGTTCAGGTGGAGAAAGGCTGGGGGTGAGGCCATCCGGTGTGGGGCCAGGAGCCTGGAACTTGGTAGAGCGTGAATCCCGAAGTTCCTTTAGATCGGGATTTTTAAAAGATCCGAGCACCATTTGGAAGCTAAGCTAATGCCTTTCTTTGTGCACAAAATATTCAGAGGCAGCTCTGGTGTGTGTAGAGCTCGCATTACTGAGGAAGCCTTTGCATCCTGATCATGTTTCAAAGAGTAAAAACAGGGGCACTGGTTGGTAGAACATGCGACTTTCGATTTTGGGGTTGTAAGTTTGAGCCCCACGTTGGGCATAGAGATTGCCTTTAAGAAAAATCCGGGGCCCCTGGGTGGCTCAGTCGGTTAAGCATCTGCCTTTGGCTCAGGTCATGATCCCGGGGTCTGGGGATAGAGCCCTGCATCAGGCTCTCTGCTTAGCAGGGAGCCTGCTTCTCCCTCTCCTCCTTGCTTGTGCTTTCTCTCTCACTCTCTCTGTCTCTCTCTCTCAGATAAATAAAATACAACAAAAAACAAACAAAAAACAAAAACTAAAGGAAGCTGAGAGATAATCATATATACCAGGATCCTAACTCCAGTGATCCGTGGTAAGCAAGCACCAAACAATCTGAAGATAATGACCACTTACCACCAAGTTCTTTTACAAAATACATTTTGCTTTCCTTCCTGTATTTACCCCTCTGTGGAAGCAGACTGCCCTCCATGAAGATACTCAAAGTAGAAGGTGCTTGTTAGTTAGCTCCTGGGCTGATGCCATCATGGAAGAAAAAAGCCCCAGGTTACTGTCAAGTGATTTATTTGCTTACCATTAGCTAGAACCATGGATTTTTTTTTTTTTTAAGATTTTATTTGTTTATTTGATAGAGATCACAAATATGCAGAGAAAGCAGGCGGGGCGGGGTGGGGGGCAGGCTCCCCACTGAGCAGAGAACCCAATGCGGGGCTCGATCCCAGCACCTTGAGATCATGACCTGAGCTGAAGGCAGAGGCTTAACCCACTGAGCCACCCAGGTGCCCTGGATTTTTTTTTAACTCCACAATAGATGGCTTCTTTTGGAAGCACAAGTAGCCATCTTTGATGGCTCCCAGTGCACGTCACGGTCTTTGTCTCTCTCCACCACTGCTTTATTTTATTTTTGAAGATTTATTTATTTGATAGAGTGAGCAAGAGAGAACGCATGCAAAAGCAGGGGGAGAAAGAGGGAAAGGGAGATGCAGACTCCCCACTGAGCAGGGAACCCGATGTGGGTCTCCATCTCAGAATGCTCTGAGCTTCTCATTACAATTTTTCATTGTAAATGGTGGATCCACAGAAGGTTCTTTTAAAGAAATTATCTGGGGCGCCTGGGTGGCTCAGATGGTTAAGCATCCGCCTTTGGCTCAGGTCATGATCTCTGCATCCAGGCTCCCTGCTCAGCAGGGAGTCTGCTTCTCCCTCTCCCTGGCGGCTCCCCCTGCTTGTGCTCTCTTGCTCTGTCAAATAAATCTTTAAAAAAAAAACAAAAACTGACATACTATGTATGGGGGGGATATGATCAATATCACCTTTGTGCTTTGACATGGCTTCTGCTTCTGTCCCAAATGACAGTCTCAGCAACAAGCCAGGGCATGTGCTCTGTAGAAGGGGAAACGTCCAGCACCAGGAGCACAAGTAGCCATCTTTGGTGGCTCCCAGTGCACTTCACGGTCTTTGTCTCTCTCCACCACTGCTATATCTCAGCACATTTTTCTCATCTGTCTTCTCTCTTCCCTCATTCCTTTTGTCTCCTTCCTTTTTTCCTCACCACAGCCTACTCATGACATTACTGCCAAACACTCCTGATGGGCCATGATTGTCATGAATGGTTCAAAAGATACATCCGTTACTAAGGGTTTTGACCCAGATGATGGTGTGAGTTCCCCCGTGGCCAGCTCTGGGTTTCTAAGTGTTTAATATTTATAAATGCTCATTAAGTCTCAAGAAGGTGGCTGATACCCTCCAAGACAGGAAGAGAATCCACGATGACTTTAAAGGCACGATGCAACGTGAGTGGGGCCAGTACATCCAAACCCAATAAAAGGAAAACCCAGGTTTGCTTCAGTGGAGAGAAGCTGATTTGGAAGAACAGTGGATGGCCAGTTGGGCATAAGTCGAGAGAAATCCAAACAAATCCAAAATGCAGTAGCATCACTGTACCCTGGCCAGGGAGTCATCCTCTCTGCCGCCTTCGGTATTAACCAAATCTCTGTTGAATCACTTTACTCAGACCTTTATGTCTGCAGAAAAACAGATGCTATAAAAATTCTATGAGGAAGGAACCGGAGTGTTTCAAATCTGGATGAATAAAGAGGGAGGGGCAAACAATTTAGTGATGGGCTCCAACATTGCCTTGTACGCGTGAACCTCCATCACAAACCCAGTCACTCCAGAAAGAGTTTTCTTACCTTCCAATTACCTTTGACTCTGAGCCACCAACTTTCTCCTCCTCCTCCTGTATACATTGTTTGCCTTCCTCTCCAAATTATTCATGAGCCTTAGAATCTTAATGCAGATCACCCCTCCTCACCCCGTCCTCTGTCCACGCTATGAAACAACTGATCTGTCTGTTCTCTGGGCCCCAAAGACCCCACGTCTGTCATCCCCGGTG